AAGCAAGCTGTGGCAATGGGATTTAAGATTTCGTCCATTGACATTAAAGAGGCCTGTCTGAATGGCTGATGTTGAGCATGACGACATTGTAAAATGATTTGATTCTTCATTATTGACCCTTTTTTTTTTGTGCATGGTGATTGGTGACCATTGCCACATCCTCCTCTCATCTCATCAGCACTAGTCGTCCTTTCGAAATTTAACTTAAGCCATGTTTCGCAGCAGCGCTAGATTCTTTTTCTCCCTCTACAAGGGGAGTACGACGAAAGAATTCACCTTTTTTTTTATTTTATTTTTATTTATAAAAAGTTGTTTAGTATAATAGAAAGAAAAAGTAATGATTGTCCGCTCCTTTATTATTTAGTGGAACTTTTTAAAGTAGGACTTGTCCTCTTTCATTAGAAATATAAATCTTGTTTTAGTAGTTTGATCAGTTTTAAACCGTATAATTTATGAGTGTTTGCGTTAAAGATCCTTCTGAATCAATTATTAAACCATTTAAGAATTAATCCAATAATAAAACGTGTTTATATATAAATTTTATTGTATCATACAACAATAGCATACCATAAAGTTGGTCGCCCGATAGAATTACGCTTATTTCTAAGCGTTTTTAACAAAAAAAAAAATAAAAATTCTCACATTCGAGTTTTGTATAAAAAAATTTGATACTGTCTTTACGTCAAGGGTTCAACATTCATTGGTCTTTGATAAAACAAAAGTGACAGGATTCATTCTTAGGCAAAAATAATAATGATTACAGCCGGTCGTCTATAGCATACTTTTCATAACAAAAGGAGAAAAAAAAATCGAAATGATTTTTTTTTTTTTTTTTTTTTGTATAAAAATAAAAATGAAAACGTTTTCAATCTCAGACATAAATCATTTTTAAAAATGTGTTTGGTAGTTTTATTAAGAGATTATTTTCAGTATAAAAAAAATCTATTAATGTCTCTCCTCTGCTCGAAAATGAAAAGAAAAAATAAAAAATGACTTTTAGTCGTTTTTTATTTCTCTCTCATTTTACACTAAATTAAAAAATCATTTTCATTTATATTTTTTTATCTTTATTACGTCAAACGTTATTTTAAAAATATTTTTATTTTTTTTTAAAACGTAAAAAATAAAAATGAGATTAATTCTAAACACAGCTAATACCAACAAGTTAATTAGCCGCCTCACTTCTGCATTTTATTTGTCACTTTATTTATCCTTTAATAGCGGTGAATGGTTATTCTCGGGATCTTTCTTGGTTGGATCCATGGCATTATAGACATTCTCAAAACAAGCTCATATCTTTCATTTATCCGGCATTACCCACACAAAATTGTCAAAGTAAAATCCTAAAAGAAAAAAAAAAAAGAAATTGTCAAAGTAAAACACGTAGAAACTTATAGGTACCCCTAGGCTTAGCATCCTTAGAACCATCCAATTACAGTCCTAGAGGTCAACATCAGCCGCATCACATTCATATAGGGATACATGAACATCATAGAACTACATGTGTACTATTGACTTTAGCTTAGAAAAGTCAGTTACACGTCAATGTCATTAAAAACAAGATAAATAAGTGGAATTAAGAGAAATAATTCAAATAATGGAATTAAGAGAAATAATCATATTTAATTTTTTTATTACATTTAAAATTTTTTATATAAAGTCACATCTTAATTAGAATAAAAAACTCGAATCAACGAATTAAACGGATTCCAAGATATTTCATTGGAGTTTCAACCTCACATATTTGACGACGCTAAAATTGGACCGAAAGTGACATTTGATTCACGGCTTTGAAATCATAGTTTATGATTTTAATTTTTAAAATTTAAATTTTTTATAAAAGAAAAACACTATAATAGAATCAAGAACCATAATCTTAAAACAAACATCATTCCTCATGCATGTGAGAACCAGCTTATGCCGAAGCTCAAGAAAACGTAGAAAAAGAAAAGATTTATTTATCTTTACTCTTTTGTTTTGTTTAGTTTTGAGAGGGGATTCATTAGAGAGTTAAGAGGGAGATCGAGAGAGGAGATACGACAATGGGCTGATATGTTGCCATGTTCATTCCACCTCAAATGACAATGACAATTCCCTAAAAAAAAAAAAAAAAAAAAAAAAAAAAAAAGGGCTATTCGGCTAATAGGTTCATGCAATTTGAAGTTTGAACTATGAACCCCGTTCAAAAATGGTGTCTTTTGGATGCACATGTTTTAGCTCTAATTTGAACTATGCATGATGTAATAAGTAAAACCAATCAAACCAAAAAAAAAAAAAATTATCAATTTAGACTCCAAGCTCACACTTTTTACACCTTATAATTAAAACGACAAAATAAATAAATAAATAAACCACCACATTTCAAACTCATGAAAAAAGAGAATGTGCATTCATCCAACTTGGAAAGGCAATTACAATTTCTTTAACGAGGGAAAAAATCTTCTATGAGATGAATAATTATTAGTGCGTACTAAATCGATACGACCAAATGAAATAATGAGTCTTTTTTTTTTTTTTAAATTTAATTCCACTAACTCTAACCAAAACTACCCTAAAAGTTACCTTGTTCAGATGATTGTTTAAATTATCTCCTGCAACCCATTAACTTTTCCGAAAGCTCAATCTCATTGAATGGGACTCATTTAGTTCTTTGTCAACAATAGTGCCCCCCATCAAAAAATAGGGGAAAAAAAAGGAAAAGAAAAGGCAATACATGTGGACAATTTAATAATTGACATTGAATTATTATATTCACAATAATTTGGGTACAAGCAAAACCCCATGTAATTTGTGGGTTTCCAACTTAGTTTTGAACTTTTGATGCGAATGCGACATAATTTACAATTTTATATTAGAGGGTCTTGTTTTATTACCCATTGGGTATTTTGAGAACAAATATAAAAAGGGCGGGGGGGGCTACATGAAGGAAGAAAAGAAAGTTAGAGAGCCGAACACGGTGAATTTTAAGTGTGGGCCATCCCAGGTAGCCGTGATGCAATCTCTGATCTCACAAATATATGGCAGACACCATATTTACCACCATCAACGGTGCACCTTTAATGGACTTTCCAAATGACTTAATATTATTCATTGTGGGGCCCACACCCCACAACGTCACCCTCGAACGCCCTCCCATTTACAATTAGCACCGCAGCAAACTGACAAACCACGTGGTGAGCTTCCATTGGTCCCTACAGGCAGACCCAAAAAGCCAGATGGGCCCCGCTCCTACTTATCTCCCCCCAAGCCCACACTACCTCCATGCCTGAAGGAAAGCCAAAGACAGCGCCACGTGTCCTGCAGGGAACGTCATGATGACGTGGAAAGTGTGATTCAGATCTGGTTATGATGTCATGAGGTTGGTGGGACCCGGCCTTCCTCACCCCGGCATACCAGTCCACGTCAGCCCGAGCTTCTCTCTCTTTTTACTGCACTGGAGTCTGGGGCTTTAGCTTTTTGTTACGTCACGGTTCAATCTTGCCGTTCCACGTCAAAGTCAATGTGACGTCACTCTCATTTACTGCTTGGCTCCCCCCCTCCCCCCACCCCCATGTGATCGCTCCACGGCCACGCCACTTAACCGGCAAATATCCAGTATTTCCGAACTACCTCATCGTGTTTTTGACAGCGATGATACTCACGCGCTTTCTTCTGCTCCAGCTCTCACCACCCTTTCAATAATTCATTGCTTTCTATATATGTTTTTTTTTTTACTTTTTTTTTCTTTTTGCTTTGATTCTGATTTAATCTTTTTTTAAGCAGAAATCTGTCCATTTATTATCATCTTTTTAATTTAAGGGAGAAATTTGCACTCTACACTTTACTTTACGATGAAATTAGGTATGAAATTAATGTTAAATTGTACCTACATTAATAATATTTTTTTATTATTTTTTTATTTTGCCCTATTGTTCAATTCTGTATTTGAATTTTTTTTTTAAAGAATCACTTTCATGTCCTACAACTTTTTTGAATTCCTTACTACTGCATTTTTGGAATTAACATGGCCCAAAATGTTCTTTTGTATAATGAAATTTTTGGTTAAGTTTGTGATTTTTTTTTTCATCCATGAAATTAAAGTCTAGTTGTGATTTTGGCATCTGTCAAATTAAGTGCAAGGTATAATTAAAGATTATTTTGCTTCACCGTGTTTTAAACTTTGAATTAGCTTTTAATTGTTTGATTTGTAATTGAAATAATTATATGTCACGTATAGATTTTTATTACAGACATATACATATATAACTATTAAAAATTATCTAACAATTAAAAACAACAATCATACACTAAAATAAAATAGCCATCTCCATTGTAAAAATTTCTCTGTTTTTTTTTTCACAAAGTAATAAAGCTAATGAGATGTTTGGTTGGAGGATTCAAACCATGATTTGGATCATGGTTTATAGTTCGTTACAGTGTTTTCTCTCACAAAAAATACACGTAAATCAAATATAATTCTAATCACATGATTCTAATCTATGAATCAAACGTCTCCTAAGAAGATACTTGCTTTACGATTATGTTGCATCATCAAAGCTTGTCAAAAACTATCTTCAGGAGGCTTCTTCTGATTTACGCTTAAATTCAAAATTCTCACCACGTGTATTCTAATTCTGAAAAAAAAAAAAAACGAAAGAAAGAAATGACCTTTCGAAACGACAGAGATAATTATATTTTCACAATAACAACAATTATTAATGTCTATGTCACACAAAAAAAAAAAAACAAAAAGAAAAAAAAGCTCCAAGCATGAAGCAAAAGTTCAAGGAAGGAAAAAAAAAATAGAGAAAAAAAAGACTCACATGACCAAAAAAAGAAGGGGTGGTGTAATAAGTAATAATATATATAAGGGGCGCGTGGGGGTTAGGGAAGGCAAAAGTTCCAAAAACCTACGATTCCAAAGCACGTATATTTGTAATTGTAAACACAGTAGTTTGTGATGTAAGCAACCACACACGCACACTCCCTCTCTTTCTCTCTCTATGTCTCTCTCTCTCTCTCCCCACCACATTTTCTTTTCTTTTTATAAAAACTCCCCTCCTCTCTCACACACACCCCACTACACCCGCGTTGACATCAACACCACTCTCCTCCTCTTCCCAACTCCCACTCCCTAACTCTCTCTCTCTCTCTCTCTGTGTCTATGGAGATACAAGGCCTAAGGCGGTGCTCAGAGGACGTAGTCCAGCTGGACCTGGGCGGGCCCACGAGCGCCTCCCTATCGATCGACGACGAGGAGTCGGCGGAGGCGCGAATCCAACGGCTGATATCGGAGCACCCCGTGATCATCTTCAGCCGCAACTCCTGCTGCATGTGCCACGTCATGAAGAAGCTCCTCGCCACCATCGGCGTCCACCCCACCGTCATCGAGCTCGACGACCACGAGATCCCCTTTCTCCCAACAACAACTACAACAACCGCCGACCATCCCAGCTCCGCCTCCGCCGCCGCTGTCTCTCCTCCCTCCGTCTTCATCGGCGGGGCCCGGCTCCTACGTCGGCGGCTTGGAGGCCCTCGTCGCCCTCCACCTCAGCGGCCACCTCATCCCCAAGCTTGTCGAAGTTGGCGCCCTCTGATTCATAATCAGTACGAATTACGCTTTAGCTTAATTTCTCATCATATCATGGATATATAAATTCGGGTTATTTTGAAAAACGTAAAGAATTAGGAACCCAAAAAAAAAAAAAAAAAAAAACCCTTCCCCTTGGCTGTTTCCAATTTCCATTTTCCAATTCCCGTTGTTTGATAATCATGGTCAAATACCAGAACGACTTTAAGATGGGAAATTTTCTCTCTTAATTAGCTTCACGTGTGTGTTTCCTATATCATATGTGTTCTCAGTTCGATCTAGTTTGGTGTTGCCGGCCTGGGGTGATTAATTACTAGGGTAGTATTATTTAGTGGCAATCAGGGCCGTCCAATATGTGGACTTTCATGATCTGCAGTACTATCTTGTGGCCGTGGAATTTGATCATATAGGCCTAGTTAGTCTGTAAATTTTCTTGGGGTTTTTTTTTTTCCCTTCTTTTTTTCTTTTTTCTTTCTATGTATTTTGTTATTCACATATGTTGGGGTTAGACCAATTATCAATATATATTAGGGTCCCACTTTCAATTATTGAAGCAACGAAAGCCTGAGAATTGGATGATATATATATATATATATATATATATGATTCTGTTCGCTTGTAGGTTCTGGTGATCAATGGTTAATACTTCTTAACGTATGATGTGTAGTGCCATGTATTATATGCTCTTCTGAGTTGAGGAAAAGTCTCTTTAATTAATCCTGAAAAGTACCTTGGTGACGATGACAAAACTTTGGAAAGAATTGGGGACTGCTAGATATTCTGACAATGTTCGTCCAATTATTGCAAATATCTTCATTAGCCAAACACGGCTTCTTTTGAACTCTCTAATCTCCATAGCCTTCTTCCGAGTCTGAAGGGGGTTGGAAATTGAAAAATATTTAAGAAAATAATAATTAAAAAAAAATAGCGAAATTCTCACTGTTGGCATCTACTCCACGTTATTCTTGGGATTGACACTAATCTGTATTTGCTAGCTAGCCGCTCGGTGTTGTTATCGAGCTGTGTTTAGTTGGATTTAAGTTTTTAATTTTAATTGAGTATGATTTTATGTGAAAATTTTTTAATATAATAAAAAAATTAAAATATAATAAAAGAATTAAATGTGATTATTTTTTTAAATTTTTTATTATAATAAATTTTAAATTTTAAATTTAAATAGGTGAAGTTGAAATTACAATTTGGGGCTTTTCTTTGTTTATTCAATCTGTTTTGTTTGTTTTGGAATTGACAACTTAAGCGTAAGGGACTTGTTTGATTAAAAAGTGACAGATGGGTTTACAGTTTACACCAAAAACTGGAACGTGACGACAAAAACCCAAATTTTGTCATGACCCCATCAGACAACATTCTTGCGTCACGGTTTAACATGGTTGCGCCTTCAGCCACCCGACAGCCCAATTTCACCGTCACTGTGCCATCCCTTATTAATTGCCTATTTTCTACTACATGATAAAGCTCGTGGACCAACACTAGGCTTTTTTATTTGCAACCCATTTTGATGTATGAAGTTGTACAAGTTTTATGGTACGAATCATTTCAAACCAAAAAAAAAAAAAAAGGGTATCAAAGTACGGTTGTTCCACTGCTCAAATTAATAAAGTAATTAAAAAACAGTCTTTTATGGGAAAATAAAATCAAAAAATTAAGGGTGGGATGTACTTGCCCTGGTTTGTTGAATCTAGCTAGTTTTGTAGATTGTAATTTGACAATAATGTTACAATATTATTCTCTTATAATAAATGTAGGAGGAATATATCATGTCACTATGTCAGTGTGTGGTAACGAATAGAGCATTCTTCAAAGATTTCTAGATCTTTTCCCAATTAAGGAATGGAGAAAGAGAGTTTTGTGAGCCGGCGATAACAGAGGGTAAGAGGGCCAACCCCACTTTTCATGTTAGTGGGCCCCATTGCCCTTTTTTTTAAATTATTTTTAAATTTCCTGTGGGTTTGGAAAAGACAGCTTAAGTGATGACTGATGACAACAACAACATTAACAACCACAATTACCAAAAACAAAAAAAAAAAAAAAAAAAAAAAAAAAAAAAAAAAAAAACATTAACAACCACAAACCACAATTCCAGTGGTGCGTATCCCCTCTTTCAATTTCTTTTTCCCTTTAATCGAGAATCATACGTGGCAGACATGCAATGGGTTTGATTTTACACCTATAGTGGACCCCTCCACATAGAATCTTTTACAGCCTAACGTAAGAAGAATCTCCTTGTGATTCTTTTTTAAGAAAATAAACGGAAAAATAAAAATAAAAATACCAAGGCGACATTATAAAAGGAAAAAAAAAAAAAATACCAAGGCAAAATTCAGAAGTTTATTTATATGACATATGAAAGTGTTTAAAAATTATGGTAAAAGAAAAAGTCGTTTGATTTATTTATTTTTAAAAAGGAAAAAAAAATTGTAAATTGGACCCCCACTGAAAGTTCCTTAATGGTAGGGCTTTAGATGCACTTAAGTCTTGAAAAGTTAAAATTCAGTCTAAAGTTCCAAAAGCCTCTTTAGATACTTCATGTCAAGTTTACTTGCTTTTTTTTTTTATACCTGTTTAATATTTTTTTAATATAATTTTTTAAAAAACTTTTCCTCTAGTGGTAACTGGTGATTGATGAGGTTCGCACATTATCTTCCTACTGTGGAACCCTCACACATAACTCATTTGATTGGATACACATCCCAGCATAGGGCCAAATCAGGCCACACTCATGGACTTTTTAAAGCCCTCTCTCTCTCTCTCTCTCTCTCTCTCTCTCTAGTTCATAACTAAGAGATACCTAGTCAAATTACCCTTGTGCTTTGTATTGATTTTTTCGCAAATAAACAAATAATTGAAAAGTACTTGAACTTGGAGGATCAGAAATACCTGAAAGGCAAGTGTACTTTTGACTTTCGGTTCTAAAGGGGTTATTTTCTCAATAATATAAAGAAAAAAAAAGTAATTGATGCCAACACAAATCATGTTGATGGGAAAAACTGTGTGATTAAGCTAAAAGGTAATAGTAATAATCAACTAATCATCACCAATGAAAAAATGAAACTGCTCCATTTGTGAGGCAGAGAGAGAGAGAGAGATGACTTCTCTGTGTGCTGCCTTATGTGCGAGATGTCATTCATTCCCACCTGAGAGAACCATAAAAGGGTACATGAATAAAGTCAATAACGACAACCAATTTAAGGTATGATTTGTAGTTTCCCAACTGATACTATACTTTTCATTTTGTTTATTTATTTCTTCGGAGAAACAAAAAAAAAAATCAAGGTCTGAATTGCCAGACGCCCAAAAAAGCAACGTGGCAAAATGAATGTCACTAGTGCAGTGTGCACCGAAGCCAAATCAATCTCTCTCTCTCACTTTACTTTCCCACCTTAACAAAATGTTAATAATCCTCCTAGACGCTGTACTGTAAATTTGTCTCATCATTCCTGTGTGTATTTTTCTTTTCCTTTCTTTTTTAATCCTTTCCTTGAAAGTTGAAAACAACAAGCAACCAAAATGGGATTTCCTGCTACAACCTTCCCCAGTTCATGAACTTCTTGACCTCATCATACAAAACCAATATCGCAGCAGCCCCTGTACTCCTAAACATGTTAGAAACCGTGCCACGGTAAAACGACGCCACCCCTTCTGTCGTATATATCTTCCTCCAACAATCCAGAGTGCTGCGGTACATTGGCTGCTCCAGCCCGGACTGCATCATCATCCGCCTCCGAACCGTGTCCAATGGATATGACAACAACCCTGCCGAGGTGGTCACTGCCTGAGCGACAATCCAGCGTTTCCAAAGTGGCACTTCGGGTTTGGATTCTTTGGACATTACTTCCTTCATGGTGTCAAATCCTCCAAAGTAGAGACCCCGGTGGACGACCATTCCATGTAGAGAGGCTGGAAGCCCCCGGTAGATGCCGCGGAGTCCGTCTTTTTGGTGCACGGTGGAGAGGAAGTGGTAGATTCCACGGAACTGTCGGGCATCGGTCCTTCCAATGTCGGCTGCAAGACGGGTGTGGGCAATATCAAGCGGGTATATTAGGACTAATGTGGTGCAACCGGCTGCAGCCCCAGCAATGAAGTTAGCAGATGCGCCAGACGCAAAATGACCACCATCTTGGGAGTTTCCGTTCCTTAGCATGTTTCGATAAAGATCCTGTTGGAACAAAAACAACTCAAAAAGAATCAGTTAAAACAACAACATAGAATGCCAGTAAAAACAACAAAACAAGAGGAAAATCCTGACAGTAAAACGGTAATATCTCCCGATTCTGATGTGAAACGTGTCCTTAGATAGATGTGTAATTCACGAGTTTGCCCACTTTGAATAACGGTTTTCTTACCATGCATAAGTAAACAGTGACATCTTTAAAGATAAAGTAGAAGGCATCTTCCATAAATTTCAACTCTATTAAAATAATTATGTAGGCTAATGCATGCGTACTAATAATTGTCTTATAACATCAACACTATCTCCTGGGCGACCCCCCATCCTCACATAAAACTAAAGATATATCAAGTTATATAATATAATATAGACCCATAAAAAGGGTTGATGCAGCTAATTTCATTACATTTGATCAACTTTTTCCCACTGCAACCTGAAGCAACCTCAACAAATTTATAATGCTTCGATCAATGATGACTCAACTTGTACGGACATGATTAATATTGATCTTCCCAATGACAAAAGGACACGCTTTGTCAATCCAAAAAGTATCACCACGCTGTTTGAGGTGGCAATGCACTTGTTGGAATTTAATAAGTCACTCTTTGCCGCTAGCCGCTAGGTAGAGTAATGGAATACTCAATCTCATAACTCTTAAAAAAAATCCTATGTATGGCTGCACATGCACGATAACGTATCACACCACACAAATAAAAGACTAAGGCCGTGTTTAGAATTAATCCCGTTTTTATTTTTCACGTTTTTCAAAAAAGAAAAAATGAAAACGTTTTCAAAACGACATTTGGCGCAATAAAAACAAAAAATAGAAATGAAAACGATTTTTTAGTTTAGTGTAAAATGAAAGAGAAATGAAAAACGACTTTTAGTCGTTTTTCATTTTTTGTTTTCGTTTTCTCCTCTCTCGAGCAGAGAGAAACAGAGACATTAATGAGTTTTTTACATTGAAAATAATCTCTTGATTAAACTACCAAACGTATTTTCAAAAATGGTTTCTGTCTGAGATTGAAAACGTTTTCATTTTCATTTTCATACAAAAAACAAAATTATTTTGGAACGAGTTCCAAACGCGCCCTAAAGTTCCCAAGAATCCCTACCGATAATTCCATGCTGGAACATATCTATAGATTCAGTTGGTTCTAGATGAAGGTAAAGATCTAGGTCTGTAAGACGGCAAGAACAAAACTCCCAGATTTGCCTTGTGACTCGTGACTTTACCAACTTCTGGGTGCAACAGAAAGTTCATCTTAACTCCCAAATAAGACTATCACTTCAATTTTCACTGATCTTCTTTTAAAATAAGGATGTTATAGCACGAGTCAGAATGTCATATTTCTACATCCACATTCCTTAGCATTTCTAGTTAGTCCATCTACTGCCTCTGAAGCTATGTTCTTTATTCTAATTTCAACTTGCATTTGCAAATATAGATTAAAAAAAACAAAAGTATTTCAACAATGTCAGCTAAAAGCTGGATCCAAAGTATATCATAAATTTTATACCTGTCCCTCCTTATAAATGAGATCATACTAAATACACTCCTATATACATTTAGAACATAAGTTATACGAATATACAATCGATCAGATGCAGGGGATCGACAGCATATATCTCATTTAAACTAGGTTACATTAGAAACTAAATGAAATACATTATTTGAGGTTTCTTTCAGACAAAACCATCTTGCCTAGAAGGCTATTCAACCTCAAGTCAGTAACAATATGGAGTTATTGTAGTTAAGAGAAATGCCCTGTTTAGCATGCATGTAAGATCAAATGAAAGGTCAAGATTGAAGGGAAAAAAACAGCGCAAAATATTGATCTAAATAAAGATTCCAATAACTAACTTTTCAAGACCCAAAAATTAAAATAAATAAAAGTTTGTCCATAAAGGTCACCTAAGGTAACTATCTGAGGTTAAAAGTCATTCAGATGACATGATGAGAGACATCAAAAGTCCATGTATACAAGTTAGTTTCAAAATGCTGACTTAAGTGTGCTCCATGCCTTTGGCCCTTGCCAATCCAACTCCCTCAAAATTCAAATGCGCAGCAAATCAAAGCAAATTAATCTAACAAAGAAACCAGTAAACTATTAAACAAATTTATTAACTTTTCCCCTGCCTCTCTTATTAAATTTAAAAAATAACAGAAAGAAACATAAAATAGTGTGAAATGAAAACAATGGAACATTGTCGTTTCTCATTGATTTCATTGTTTCCCAACCTAAAATTAGATAGTTAACACATCCCTGACGACGAATTAATTAAACTTCCAATAATTCCTATCAAGAAGATTCCTAAATTCAATCAAATATGCCACAAGTCACAATCAAGAACTAATCTTTTTTCTCAGGCAAAATCAATCCCTAAAAAAAAATTTAATTAATAGAAAAGAAAGAGATAAAGTTGTAAAGAAAAACGAAACCTTGAGGGAGAAATTGAGGGCGACGGAAGGGTAATAGCGGAGGACGCTGCTGCCATTGCCTCTCCAGAGAGAGAGAATGCCTTCTTCCCTGACGGTACGGACGATGCAATCGAGCATTCCCTTGAACCTCCTCCTTCCGCCGCCGCCGACGATGGCGATGTTGCTCTCTTGCGTCTGAAGAAGCAGCTTCGCCCTCTCGATTGGGGCAACGATTGTGTGCACCACCCCTCCCATCACCGCCCCCGCCATCAGATCTCTCTGGAAGCTCGCCAGCCATTTGTACGCGCCCGACGACCTCTCCCCCGCCTTTGCCCTATCCTCTCCGCCGTCTTCTCCCATTCTCTCTCTCTCTCTCTCTATCTCTCTCTCTCTCTCTCTAACAGTCTCTGGAAGAATCAGATTCTTGAAACTCTGTCCTCTTCGAAATGTTTGCGTTTCTTCTTTACTCTGTAAATACATATATACATGTGTGTGTGTGTATATATATATATATATATATGAAGAAGAAGAAAGAAAAATTGAAGTTCCGTAAGATTGATGGATACCCAATAGGAGGCGGGGAAAAACTGGTTTCGAAACCCAAGACACGTGATGCGGGTTGTGTTCTTGGATTTTGGAAGCTTCGAAAATTGGAAGAGAAGGTTTTTCTGGTGTGTTCTCTCTCTTCAGCTATGAAAAGACGTTTCTCTCTTCTCTCTTCTTGCAATCTGGTCGAGAGGGGGAAACTGAAGAGGCCGCGCTCTCTTTCTTCCCCAACTTTGTATAATTCTTCTTTTTTTTTTTTTTAATAATTAAAAACCAAAACCCAATAGCGTTTTTTCTTGTCCGAAAATAGTAATTTTTCAGTACGAAACTTTTGTTTAATACTCGGAAAGAATATTTTAGTCCCTCCTGAAAAAAGGTAGAATGATATTTTTAATTATTTTTAATTTATGTATATTTTTTATAAGATAAAATATTATAATAAATCACGAATTATGATTTGAATTATAAGATGAATTATTATATTAAACACCTAATTAGTTCATGATAAATAGACTTTTGGCTAAACAAAAAATATTTAGTGAACGTTTAGTTCATAAATTCAGAATCATGATTCAAAATCATTCTCAGTTTACGTATATTTTTTGTGAGATAAAATACTGTAGCGAGCCACGAATCATGATCCAAATCATGACACGAATCCACCAACCAAATGCATTATTAGGGCTTGTTCTTTTAGAGTAAAACTCAAAAAAAAGTTTGAACTCAAGTTACAACTTTATTTAAGTTCATGTTCGTTTGTAAAATTTGAGTTTGAACTTGAGTTTTAACTCAAGTTTTAACTTGAGTTTGAGGCCTAAAATCTGAGTTCAAGTTTCATCATCAACTCAAGTTCTTAAACTCAAACTTAAATTAAGAAACAATATTTTTTCTATTCTTAAAAACGTCATAACTTTTTCGTTTTAATTCCAATTCAAATTAAGGAACAATATGCGTTCACAATGAAGAGACGAATAAAACCCCACCCATATACCGCATTAAAATTTTTTATTACTATTGAGTTTTTATTAAAATACTATTTTAAATACAAATTCAAATTTTGACCTATTTAAGCACAAACTCAAATAAATTATCAATTCAAATCATAACTCAAATGTGCACATTTAAACACAAACTCAAGTTACAACTTCAACTCAACTCAAGATCTACATTCAAATTACCATAATTCAAAAATACAACTGAACAATGAGATGTTTAGGTTTATCCTCAAATTTCTTGTAATAAATAAGTCAACGATTTTGCAACAAATATTTTTGTATTAAAATTTTGTGAGTTTTTCAGTTTTTTATTTATTTTTCTTCCCGGTCTTTTTGAATAATGAAAACTCGAGCATTGATCAATTGAAGATATAAATTTGTTAGTTTCAAAATAGATGATGTACTTTCTAAATAAAGTCAAAGTAAAAGGTATACATATATATATATATTTATACTTTCCTTAATGTATATTTGTTTTGTTTCTGATATTGTCTTGCGAGGATAAATTAGAAAGAAAAGAATGATATTCGGATAAGTATAAAATTCATTATGTTTAGTTCAAAAATACATAAAATGTGGTTGTCTCGCTTCATGACTCCTCTTTCTTTTGTGTAAGCATTGTCGAAAACATACTTAAAAAATAAAAATGGTCGGTTGAACTAAATTGAAAAAACAAACAGAAAACAAAATAAAAATCGTTTCTTGCTAATGTCCTAAACATCAGTTCGTTTATCGTTTTATTGTATGATTTTTATTCAATCAACGACATGTCGTTGCAAGTAAAAAGAAACGACATTTCATTGCTCCATGATGTTTTTTTTTTTATCTGAAACAAAAAATACAGTCATTTTTGTAAGAAAAAACGGCATGTGGCTTTATCAACCCATCCCGTTCGGTTCGTCAATTCGAGTTAAGATGTGATGTTGTGTGAGAATTTTTTACTGTAGTAAAAAAGTTACATGTGATTATTTCTGAGAGCCTTTTATTGTAACAAAATTCGAATTCTAAACTCAAATCAATAAAAAGAACAGGGCCTAAAATTTTCATTCCACTCTCAGTTCCCTAGATGTTGTCGTTTGCCCAAAAAACCTATTGTTTTCTCTTGCTCTAACACAGTAACACAGCGACATGCCATTTATACTTCAACTAAAGCGCCGCGTCGCATTTTACTTAACGAAAATGACATTGACATCTCTTTTTACTGTATGTCGTCCTTTAATCGAATAACAACTATAATTTTTTTATTTTATTTTTTCCTGAAAAATTATCCCTCGTAATATTACCCTTGTCTTTAGTGTTGTCCCTTTTTATTTTTAATTTGTTTAAATTGATCTATTCTAATAAAATCACAATAGACGGGTAGTTTTACACATTTCTTCTTCTACCATTTTTCTCCATTTTTTTTTGGGCAACACATATATTTAATAGATATAATAATGTTTATTTAATATATTTATTTAATACATTATTATTTAATATATTTATTTAATATATTATTAATTTAAATATTATTACATGTTTTTAAAAATTAAACCACTAAACACAATTTCAGTTTTTTTTAAACTGAAAACAATCTCAGAACAAAACTATCAAACGCATTTTCAGAAATGATTTCAAAATGAAAATAAAAACGTTTTCGTTTTCATTTTCATACAAAAAATAAAAATGTTTTGAAACCAATTCCAAACGCACCCGACATTGACATCTCTTTTTACCTGGATGTCGTCTTTTAATCAAATAACAACTATTATTTTTTTATTTTTTTCGCCTGAAAAATTACCTTACCCTTGTCTTTAGTGTTGTCCCTTTTTATTTTTAATTTGTTTAAATTCATCTATTCTAATAAAATGACAATTCATCTATTCTAATAAAATGACAATAAACGGGTAGTTTTACACATTTCTTCTTCTGCCATTTTTTTTGGCTTGTTTTATAAATAGGGGAAATGGGACAAGAATCTGACATCAAGTCCTAGTTGGTGGCAAAAATTTGCTCCATTTCAAGCCGCTCAAATGCTTTGTGCTCATCATTGGCGATGTCTCCCCACCATTTCCGTTCCCATCGTTCGTGACTGCATTCAAACCTTAATTAATGGTTATGAGTGAACCATGCATGGAGCAGTTTGTGCAAATTTGAAACAAACAACTATTCATGAAGCGGTTAAGAAAATTTTTGGAAAGTTTTCAAAATCTTTTATTTCAATTTCAATTCTGATATTTCAATATTGCATATACGTTGAGTTTAATTCTGACAATTTCATTTATTTGACGTGTCAATCTCTCCCGAATCTTTTTAAGATGGAGGCCCAATTCCTTACAAAATACAATTCTTCTCCCTCAAATTTTCTTCTAATCTCTCTTCAAACTCTAAAAATAACATGTCTTGTTTTTACGTGACATTTTTGTTTTATTTGTACAACGGCTTGTCATTCAAGTTTTATTATTTTCCAAAACGTTTACATATGGAAAATAAATTAAAATCAGTCAAAACAACTAGTAGTAACAAGCATTTCTCATTGGAAAAACAGTAGACAGAAAAATCAAAAGACAACATAGGATAGGTTTAAAATAAAGTTAAAAACAAATATTGTAAATTCAAAGCTAGGCAGAGGGAAGATATTCCGAGGCAGAACAAAATTTTTCTTCTGATCAGCCTCAATCTTACTCGAGTTCGTGTGGCTGCGACAATACTCAATTTTCAAAATATCATTCCTCCCGACCGTATATTGGTCTTCTTCTCCTTTTCATGGGAACAATTTGAGCACTCTTCATGCTCCAAGCATTAAGCTTTAAGATTTTAACGCTTTTACTACCATAGTTGAATGCATATAAATGGGCTTCTTTGTCAATTGCCAATTTCGGATAAACTCTAGCTGTGATGCAACTTCTCCCTTCTCCACCAAAACTCTCAACAATTGAATGATCAATCTGCACCAAAATTAACCCATATATCATATTTCAAAATGACAAACTCACAAAAAAAATAAAAATAAAAATAAAAATCCCAACGAAAGAAAAGAGCAACCAAATGAGGGCAACATACCAAGCTTCTCAATGTTATTTTCTCTTTGTTAGGATCTAAGTCTACAAACGCTCCATATGCGGTTTTCTTAAGCCCTCCCCTTAACGAAGACCTGCTCACTTTTTCAATTTTCATACTTAATTTAATTCTCATAAAAAAATGAGTAAGAAAAAAGAGGTTATATTTGAACAAGTATTAACTCACTCACCTACTTTGGTCACTACACATGAGAACAACATACTTATCACTGCTTTCAAATATACGGAAGAAGATTGCAGTTTGTTCTGTCAACTCCTTTGAAGCCAAAACCAACAAACCAAATGGCCCGATTTTGCCTCTGACGGATGCATTTTTCTGATCGCAAAGCAGTTGTGGATCGACCCAACTGGGGTCAAATAACTCTGCCTTTTCTAGTCCTCCCACATCAAATGTAACTTCCACATCCGCCTTAAAAGAGAAGAAATTAGATAAGATCAAGAAACAAGTAATTACTAACTCATATGTTTGTTGTTGATGTATACAAATAAGGTCATAACAAAAGTTCAGTTAGTTTACCTGTGAAGCCGTGACACCAGTAATTTCAAACACTGATCTACGCTTGACCTCCTTATTGCGGAGATCAAAAACTTCCTTGCTTCTTAGTCTCTCTACTTCTTTGACAGGCCACTGCACTAATTGCCTCCCAGATTTACCAAGAACAATACTTCTAGGAATGGACTGAAAAGCCAAAAACACATTTCAAGGGTCAAATCTGTTTTTAAGTAAACAACTTCAGATGGTTAGATTATCAATCCATATACAAATGGCTGACATATACCTATCGAAGAAGACAATAGACCCCCAGATAACAAGTCACGAAATTGCAATTACAAAAATTTGAATACAAGATCGCTTATTCTGATACCATGTTAGATTACCAATTCATATTAAAACTTAAACCGTCTGGCAGTAGGATTATATTCTAATATTATTGTCTCATGGACAAACAGATTAGATTCTAGATTACCTGAAGCCCCGACCAGCCTTTGTTCTTGTCATCCGCTTCACTGTCGGACTCGGCCACCCAGCCCCACAGTATCCTCCTCTTCTTTTCACTGTCGTAAAATGTTTTAGAAGCATAAAACTTCCCAAAATCATATCGCAAATCCGAACCATCATCCAAGAAGTCACTCTCAATCTCGTACGTGTCTGTTTCCGGCTCGTATTTTCCCACTATGTAGTGGTCTTGGTCATGGAAGCTTGCCTTAAGAACATACTTAGTCTTAAATTGATCTTCAACTTGATCTTTCCCATTAATAGGGTAAAAATCAGGACACTCCCACATCTTAGTCTTTGTAGAAGAATGAAGAGGATTCTTAGTTCTATTCCACTTTACAAAGTCTTTGCTCTTGTACAGAATAGCCATTCCTTTCCCATCAATCTGGGCTCCAACTAAAACCCGCCAAATTTTATCCGGGCCTAGCCACGCAGTTGTTGGGTCTCTGAAGAAATCTGGATCAATGTCATTAGTGGGTGCCATTAACGGATTATGGGGTGTTTTGGACCATTCTCTTAGAAAAGGGTCAGACAGATTTTTGGGCACGGCCAGGTTTTGAACTTGACGGTTTTCGGTGTCACGTCCGGTGTATAGAATGGCAGGCTTTTGATCAGGAAGGATTGTGGCGGAACCGGACCAGCAACCGTTGATGTCAAAAGGATCAGTGGGGTTTAGAGCAATATCAAGATGAACCCAGTTGATGAGATCGTATGATATTGAATGTCCCCATGTGATGTTTCCCCACACTGCACTGTATGGATTGTACTGGTAGAACAGATGGTAAACCCCCTTGTAGTACATTGGCCCTATGTAAATTGAATGAGCATCTTTTAGACATATATTTCAATTTTTCCAGAAAAATTTCAGATGGGTGTTTTTTTTTTGTTGAGGAAATGTATCTCATCCTTTTCAAATGTACATTATATGTGCTTTATAACCAAAACAGCAGCCAAATGCAGGAGAGTTGAGAAAACATACCATTAGGATCTGCATATAGTCACCAGCGGCCATTTGTCAAAAACGAGAGGGAAAAGTCAACTCAAGAAGAAGAAAATAGAGGTTCTTTAATCAAACTTCCAATGTCACAGGAGATCTCAAAAAGAAAGAAAGAACTAACAAGTAGATTCAAGTGGGACAGAGAGACAAACCATTCATCCAGTTCTTAGGAGGTTGAAAATGATATGCAGTTCTGTACGGTTGCCCTTTTGAAGTGTAAAGACTTCTTTGAGTTCTTTGTCCATGATCAGATCCTTCAATTCCATGGCTGACCAGCACAAATAATAGACAAATAACCTGAATCACAGACATTTCTGTTCAACTCACATTCGGGATTCAGCTACCAGAAATCGATGGGAAAATGGACTTAAAATCCAAATTTAATTGACTCATCCTTTTCGGGTCAATTGGATCTCCAACTTGCATTTAAAAATTACTCAGAGCTAATAAAGAAACATATAGTTCTGTTTAAATGATACAATAATTCAGGGAGGATGTTATTTTAGTAAATATTTGCCTCGGTTTTGTTTAGTTAAGTACTCAAGGGCGGTAATCTTTAGATGAGCATTGACAAGTTTGATCGGCTTGTAAGAAAAGAAGTTTTACAAGCGGGGAAAAAAAAAAGGTTTGATTTGCTAAGCTATAGAAAAGATGATTTTTTTTTAAAAAAAAAAAAAAAAAAAAGATAAACAAGTGAAGGATCATGGATGACAAGCGCAAGACGACACAGGGAGTTTGTTTATTTATTTATTTTAAAGAAAGAAAGAAGGAGACAGTACAAAGAGTCGGAGGTCAATATTTTAGACCTTATCAGATTGTTCATGCTCAGGAATTTGGAAATTTCGGCCTCGTTAGTTTTTAATTTGAGTTTTTAATTTGTGTTGAGAAGAATTTTTAACTGTAATAATAAAGTTAGATGTAATTTTTTATGAGAGTTTTTAACTATAATAAAATTAAAATTAAAAACTCGAATCGATAAAAATGAACAAAGCGTTCAATTTTTCAGGATAAAATTTTACCTCCCAAGAGAATTTAGTTGTGTTTTTCCTTTTTTCTTTTTTACTTAATTTCAGTTTTATAAATCTATAATTTACTTAAATTAGTTTCATAAATCTGTTATTTATAATAATTTTCAATCAATTTTGTTCTCTTATCAAAACGACTCAATTTAATATGTAATTTCTACCAATAAAATAATATGTTGACAGCATATGACATGTCGTTTATGTAAATTGTCACTAGATAAAAGACATGTTTCTTTTACATGACAATAATGACATGATATTTTTCCCTCATTTTGTTTTTAATGGTGAACTATCTCCCAATGTTTCCCCATATAAAAAAAAATCGCAATTCTCATTTATTATTTGAACAAATAAAAAATAAAAAAAAACCTAAAACCGTCTTCGTATGTAATGTCACATTATTGTTAAATATAGCCAACGAAATCTAAAATACTACATTTGACACAATTATTCATTTTATGTTTTAATGCACTAATCCTATCAAATCTCGTACTACAAATATTATACTTTTGTCATTACTTTAAAGTATTATTTTAATTATTTTTTATTGCCATTCATGACACTTTTTCTTCTTTTTTTTTTTAAATATGACGTGGAGGAATTCGAACTTTAGATCTCAACTTCGAAGGTAAGTCAGGATTACCATTAATGACTAATTCAAGCTTGCAACCACCGTGTATAACTCTTTTATCATCATTGAGTTTTGTAACAAAAAATAAAAGGTTAAATATAAACAATGTAACTTGTGATTAATTGTTGAAAAGTGGGCGAATAATTCTGATTTCAATATTTGGTATATGTTTTATTTACTATTAACAAAATTGGCATAGCATTGCATTAGAGTAATTTTGTGTTCGAATACTAAATTTAAGAATAGCTACATTAATTTCTTGTTGCATTGGAGATGCGCCGACATATGATAATTAACAGAGAGAGTGTGCGTGGCCAAATTATATGGGAAGAAACACAGATGTTTTCAGATACAAAAGTCAAAGCAAGGCCGAGTAACAATTGATAGCAATTGGCAACAAATATTTGAATCAATGAATAAAATCCCAAATTTCAATGTTTGATATATGATATATTTAGTGCCAAAATTACCATTACATTGTATTGGAGAAAAAAAATTTTTGTGTTCAAATGCTAAATATAAGGTGTGTTTAGAACTCGTTTCAAAATGATTTTGTTTTTTGTATGAAAATGAAAATGAAAACGTTTTCAATCTTAGACAAAAATCATTTTTAAAAATGCGTTTGATAATTTTATCAAGAGATTATTTTCAGTATAAAAAACCCATTAATATATATCTCTCTCTCTTTCTCTTTGCTCGAGAGAGGAGAAAACGAAAATAAAAAATGTTCTCATTTTACACTAAATTAAAAAATCGTTTTCATTTCTGTTTTTTATCTTTATTACGCTAAACACTGTTTTAAAAACATCTTCATTTTTTTTTTCTTAAAAAACATAAAAAATAAAAATAAGATCAATTCTAAACACGGCCTTAAGTATTGCAGCATTAAATTCTTACTACATATGATAGTTAAGATAGATACGGAGCATACAGTGTGCATGGCCAAATACAAATTCAACGCGAGCCCGAGGAATTATCGGTGGCAACAATATTTTAATCTTCGAAATTGTATTCCTGACCAATTATTGGTATTCTTCCCCTTTCATGGTGACAAATTGGGCACTCTTTATGCTCCAAGCATTAAGCTTTGAGATTTTAACGCTTTTACTTCCATAGTTGAATGCATATAAGTGGGCATCTTTATCAATTGCCAATTTTGGATAAACTCTAGCTGTGATGCACGTTCTTCCTTCTCCACCAAAACTCTCAACAATTGAATGGTCAATCTGCACACAATAAACCCATATATCATATTTTAAAATGACAAATGCACCCAAAAAAAAAAAAAAAAAAGGAGCAACCAAATGAGAGGCAAACATACCAAGCTTCTTAATGTTATTTTCTCTTTGGTAGGATCCAAGTCTACAAACGCTCCATATGTGGTTTTGTCAAGCCCTTCCCTCAATGAAGACCTGCTCCATTTTTAATTTCCATAATTAATTTAATTCCTATAATAACCAAGGACAAAAAGAAAAGGGATTATATTTGAACAAGTTGTTTTTATTTTTGTTTTTTACGTTTTTTGAGAAACAAAAAAAATGAAAACGTTTATAAAACGGCGTTTGGCACAATTAAAGATAAAAAACGGAAATAAAAACGATTTTTTAATTTAGTGTAAAATATGAGAGAAATAAAAAAAGACTTTTAGTCGTTTTTCATTTTTTATTTCCGTTTTCTCCTCTCTCGAGTAGAGAAAGATAGAGGAAGACATTAATAAATTTTTTTATACTGAAAATAATATTTTGATAAAACTACCAAACGCATTTTTAAAAATGATTTCTGCATAAAATTAAAAATATTTTCATTTCTATTTTTATATAAAAAATAAAATTATTTTAGAACAAATTTTAAACGAACCATTATTTCACTCACCTGCTTTGGTCACTACACATGAGAACAATATACTTTTCATTGCTTTTATAAATACGGAAGAAGATTGCAGTTTGTTCTGTCAAGTCCTTGGAAGCCAAAGCCAACAAACCAAACGGACCAATTTCACCTCTAACAGATGCATTTTTCTGACTGCAAAGCAGTTGGGGATCAACCCAACTAGGATCAAACAACTCTGCCTTTTTTAGTTCCTCCACATCAAATGTAACTTCCACATCCGCCTTAAATAAAAAATAAATTAGACAAAAACAAACAACTAATAACTAATTTGTATGTTTATTAATGACATATATGTTGGCGTAATACGGCCTGTTTAATTCGCTGATTCGAGTTGAGATGTGACTTTATGTGAGAGCTTTTACTGTAGTAAAAAAGTTAGATGTGGCTGCTTCTGAGAGTTTTTTACTGTAACAAAACTCGAATTTTAAACTCAAATCGGTGAAATGAACGAGGCCTGAGAGAATTCAATTTAATTGATTTTACCTGTGAAGCTGTGACACCAAAAACTTCAAACTCTGACCCGCCCTTAAGGTCAAGCTTCTTTTGAAGATCAACTTTGTCGCTTCTCAGTTTCTCAATTTCTTTAATTGGCCATTGTATTAATTGTCGTCCAGACTTGCTTAGAATAATACTTCTAGGAAATGTCTGTAAAACAAAACACATGCAAACATTCAAACCACTTGTTAGAGTTAAAAACATTCTTGAGCAGTCACTACTGATTTTTCAAGTAGTCAGGCATATATGATTAGATAGTCGTATGAACACATAATCAGTGACAGAACGACTAAATTTTAAGATTTTAAATTTGATGAGTAAATTTTTCATAAATTTTTAGTTATTGTTTTGTATAATAAGAAAAATAATCATTGTATCCTCACTTGAAACAAACACAAATATGTATAATAATTTTAAGATTACCTGAAGGCCGGACCATCCTTTGTTCACGGAATCCAAATCACTGTCGGACTCATTAACCCAAGCCCATAATATCCTCCTTTGCGTTGCACCATCATAAAATGCCTTGGAAGCGTAAAACTTACCGTAATCTAATCGCAAATCCCAACCAACAACATCCAAGAAATCAGTTTCAACCGCAAATTCGTCTGTTTTGGCCACGTATTTCCCCAATGTATAGTAGTCATGGCTATTGAAACTTGCCTTAAGAACATGTTTAGTATTAAATTGATCTTGATCATCCGAAAAATCAATACCATTTGTGCTATTAACACTAACAGGGAAAAAATCAGGACACTCCCACATGTTAGTTTTTGCAGACGAGTGTAGCGGATAATCAGTCCTATTCCACTTGACAAAGTCTTTGCTCTTGTACAAAATGGCCATTCCTTTTCCATCAATTTGGGCCCCAACGACGACCCGCCAAATCTTGTCCGGGCCTAGCCACGCAGTTGTTGGGTCTCTGAACCAATCTGGTTCAAGCCCATTTGTCGGAATCATCAAAGGATTGTGTGGAGATTTGGACCATTCTAATAGAAAAGGGTCTGATGGGTTCTTGGGGAGAGCCAAGTTTTGGACTTCACGGTTTTGGGAGTCGATTCCAGTGTATAGAATCGCAGGAATTTTCCCATCAAGGAATGTGGTGGAACCCGACCAACAACCGTTGATGTCGAAAGGATCGATGGGGTGTAGGGCATGATCAAGATGGACCCAGTTGATGAGATCGGATGATATTGAATGTGCCCATGTAATGTTCTTACGCCATAATGGACCGAACGGATTGTACTGATAGAACAGGTGGTAAAGTCCCTTATAGTACATTGGCCCTGTATTTGTGGTGAAGAATAAGCAATATTTTTTTGAAGATAAAGTTCAATTTGTTTTCCAGAAAATTTTTCAGATAAAATAGGTTAAATTAGGGCCAAATTTTATTATCTGTATAAGTACGAGGGCATTGATTCCTATAAACATGTAATTATTCTCAGAATCCATTAGAACTATGTATATCTGGAAAATATGAAGGCGTTGATTCCTATAAACGGGTAATAATTCTCATGATCGATTGGAACTATATATATATATATCTGGAAAATGAAATATGTGGATATAGAGAAGGTAAATATGTATGGCAGAGTGGAGAAAACATACCATTAGGATCTGCATAGAGTCATCATCGGCCATTTTGCCAAATGAAAGGAAGAGAGAGAAAATCAGCACAAGAGAATAATAGACTGATAGAATAGAGAGAAAAAGTCTGAGAAAGGAAACTCCAAATTGGGAAGAGAGAGAGAGAAGAGAGAGAGAGAGAGAGAGAGAGAACCATTCATCCAATTCTTAGGAGGTTGAAAGTGAAAGCCGGCTCTGTAGGGCTGACCATTAGAAAGGCACTGATCAAAATCTCTTTGTTCATGATAAGAAGCTTCAGTTCCATGGCTGATCAGCACAAAGATTAAACCAATATTAACCCAAATCACAGACATCTCTCTTCGGTCTTCCTCTGATAGTTTGAGGTAGCAAGTCTTATTCAGCTACCTCAAAATTGATATGGAAGATGGATTAGAACTTGATTTAGTTCATTTAAAAAATATTGAAACTAATTTTTTTTTATTTTTAAAAAATCATATTCCTTGTTTAATGTTACAAGTTACATAAACTAAGGAATTTAAAAAAGACTAATAGGAGACTTGTTATTATATTGAATACTTTCTTCAGTCTTATTTAGTCTTGTTTATTTTATTAATTTAAATTTAAAATTTAAATTTTATTATAATAAAAATAATCACATTTAATTTTTTTAATATAATAAAATTTTTTTATATAAAATTATATCTCAATTTAAATTAGTAAATTTAACGTCCATTAATTAACTACTAAAGGGAGGTCATCATCATTTTATATAAAAATCAACAAATTTGATCAACTTGTACTACGGAAAACATAATTAAGACTTAAGAGGGTGTCTTTTCCGGTGAGGATATATACACGTGAAAGATGAGGGATAGATGACGACATATGGTATTATTGAGGGGATTATTTACATAAATGTCTATTATGAGTACCTTAAATTTAAAAATACCTATTTTTTTGTTTATTTATAAAATTATTGACCATCGCATGTATAAAGACAATTTTGTCCTCATATAATAAAAAACAGAAAGAAATAATTAAAGCACACAAAAAAGTATAAAAATGGGATAAAATCTTAAATATAAATTTTAAATAGGAAAAAGTCAAAGATCGTAAAAACCTCAACAATTGTATGTAATGAAATTGTTTTAAAAGAAGTCAACTACCGTAATTTTATTAATGAAATTGTGAGCATAAAAAAGAAAGTTTCTTCTTTTTTTAAAAAAAAGAGTAGACCATTTGATCATTAAAAACACAAAGAAAGGAAGCCCTAAAAGCTCTGCAACCACGACCAAAAAAGTCCAAACCCCATCCAATTTAGAGTGCCCAAAACACACAAAAATATGTACAGAATGAATAAGTAATTTCACTGAAATAATGATCAGACTATAATGAAAAGTTAAAAAAATAATAATAAGTAATACCATTCACAAAAAATCATCAAAAAACATTACAATAAAGAAAAAATATCATCAGACCATAATGAAAAGTAAAAGCAAAATAATAAGTAATTTCATTCACGAAAAATCATCAAAAAAACATTACGTTAAAGAAAAAACATGATCAGACCATAATGAAAGAAAAATTCTAAGGATTTTTTGGAACGTTACCCCTTAAATTTTACGTGATTCACAAATCAGTCCCTGAAAAAAAAATTTGACAATTGACCCCTTCAACTTCAAAATTGTTGCATCAAGAGTCCAATTGATAATGTATGTTACATTATAGACGGTTTCTGTCACATGCTTTGCTTATGACCTTCTCTCAAGGGCACTAGTTGCCATAACAAAGTACCTTTCCAACCGAGCCACCAAGATCTCCATTGCCCATCACATCCTTCCCCAACCATCCACGGAGATCTCCATCTCCATCTTCCGATCGCCAAGCTATTCTTGACATCGCTAGATCGAGTCCTTGTGGCCTCCTCCTCCAGTAGATATCGCCATTGCAACGTCCCTTTGCTTCTTCAAAACTCAGCTCGCCGAATCCCCTCATCCTTTAGATCTTATCAACACCTTGAACTCACTATTTCTTTAGTCAATTTGCTCATAAACTAAGGTCTATTGAGGATTGGCTCTATTGGACTCACTATTTGAGTCGATCACTGATAAATCAGTAGTTGATTGTATTAGATTTTCTTTGTATTTAAATAATTAGTGTGTGATTGTTCTTTTTTTTTATTTCAGATATAATGGCAAAAAAAAAAAAAACAAGAAGCAGCAAAATTTGAAAAATACAAAATCAATAGCAACTTAGCAACCAAGGAAAAAAAACACAAAAAAAAAAGCGCGAAGAAGACAACAACAAAGAATTTATAATAGTTTATTTTTCATGTATTATAGTTCATTTATAATTAATCATTTTACTTACTAAGATTGAAGAATGAGAGTGGGGAATGAAAGTCAATTCCATATTTACTTGCTCTTTTTTATCCTAGAATGAGAGTGAGATTGGTGGGTCCCACTCAAATTTGAGATTAAAGAATGAGATTGGCATTCCCATGCTCCCCCTTGGGATTGAGACTCTCATTGCTAATATTAATATCAATTTACTATTATACCCTTATTTTACTTATAAATACACAATTAAAAATAAAATTCAAAAAATAATAAATGCAACATATATTTATTATTTTATTTGCCTAATATTATAATATTAGCATAATTATTGTTAACTTTAATATAATAAATATGTACTTTATTTTTTAATAAATTAATAATATATTTTATTTTTTAACACTATATTTTATTTTTATTTATTTTATTTTATTTTTTAAAAATTTATTTTTATATTTTAAATAGTTGTACAATTTAAATTTATTATTTTAGTACTCAATTATTACACTAAATATTTTAATTATGATTAATTTTAATATAATAAGTACACAATATATATTTTTAAATTGAAAATATCAAATTGATTTAAAGAGTATATTAATATTTTTACACTTTTTTATTCCGATTCTGGGTGTAAGTAAACGTATGAATGAGATTTAGAATGACTCCGATTCTGAATCCTATCACTAAGTAAACAACTTATTCTGACTCCGAATCCTACCCACTCCGAATCATGCTCACTCTAATTCATGCTCATTCTGATTACGCGTAGATAAACATAATATAAGAGTTAATCGTGTAAAAATCGACATAACCTATTAGAGAAGGGTTTTTTTTTTTTCAATACTATATTTAAGCATGACTACATTAATTTCTTATTGTATTGAAGATGCTTTAACATATGATAATTAAAAGAGATAGACGGTGTGTACTGCCAAATTTATATTTGATGTTTTCGAATACAAATTCAAAGCGAGGCTGAGAAATTATCGACAAGGACAATATTTGAATCTTCTTAATTGTCTTCCTCACCAATTATTGGTATTCTTCCCCTTTCTATGGTGAGATTTCAATAGGGGTGACAATTCGTGTCACGTATTGTGTTTTGATTTTTTTTTTTAAATTTACAGTCAACCCGAACACGACCCGTGACACGAAATTTTTTAAAAACCGCAACACAAACACAAACACGACACGACCACTTTACGAGTTAAAACGACACACGACCCGAAAATGACCCGTGAATCCGAAATTGACACGAAAATTGTATACTTTTATTTAGTTTTTTACATATTAGAAATACTTTAAAATTCATAACACACTAAATTATAATAACATCCATTGAAATTAAACAAATAATAGTATAAGATTTTGAGTATAACTATCATGATATCACAAGTTCATAATAAAATTTAAAATATGAAATGAAAAATATATGTATTTTTTAGTTTTTTACGAGTTTCGTGTCGTGTTCGGGTTAGGCGGGTCCAACCCAAAATTGATCCGTGTTTTTCGTGTCAATTTCAGGTCGATCCGATTCTAACCCGAGCCTCTTTTTTCTCAACCCTAACACACAAAATTCGTATCATTTTTGAGTCGTGTCGTCGTATCGTGATCCATATTACCGGCTCTAGATTTCAACATTTTTACTTCCATAGTTGAATGCCATATAAATGGGCTTCTTTTATCAATTGCTAGTTTCGGATAAACTCTAGCTGTGATGCACGTTCTTCCTTTCCCTCCAAAAGTCTCAACAATTATCAATCTGCACCACAATAAACTCATATATCATATTTTAAAATAACAAACGCATTAAAAAAAAAAAAAAAAAAAAACTCAACGAAAATAAAAGGAGCAACCAAATGAGGGGCAAACATACCAAGCTTCTCAATGTTATTTTCACTTTGCTAGGATCTAAGTCTACAAACGCTCCATATGTGGTTTTGTCAAGCCCTTCCCTCAATGAAGACCTACTCCATTTTTAATTTTCATAATTAATTTAATTCTTATAATAACTAAGGATAAAAGAAAGGTTTATATTTGAACAAGTATAATTTCACTCACCTGCTTTGGTCACTACACATGAGAAAAACATCGATCGTGTTTGGAATTGATTCTGTTTTTATTTTTCATATTTTTTGAGAAAGAAAAAATAAAAACGTTTTTAAAATAGCGTTTGACGCGATAAAGACAACAAACGGAAATGAAAATAATTTTTTGATTTAGTGTAAAATGAGAGAGAAATGAAAAATAACTTTTAGTCGTTTTTTAATTTTTATTTTCGTTTTCTCCTCTCTCAAGTATAGAGAGAGAAAGAGAGACATTAATGAATTTTTTATACTGAAAATAATCTCTTGATAAAACTATCAAACGCATTTTCAAAAATAATTTCTATCCGAGATTAAAAACATTTTCATTTTCATTTTCATATAAAAAATAAAATCATTTTAGAACGAGTTCTAAACGCGCCCATAATTTTCACTGCTTTTTAATATGCGGAAGAAGATTGTAGTTTGTTATGTCAAAGTCCTTGGAAGCCAAAGCCAACAAACCAAATGATCCAATTTTGCCTCTTAACAGATGCATTTTTCTGACTACAATGCAGTTGGGGATCAATCCAACTGGGATCAAACAACTTGCATTTCCTAGTTCCTCCAAATCGAATGTAGCTTCTACATCCACTTTAAATAGAAATAAATTAGATAAAAACAAACAACTAATAAGAGAGTTCAATTGATTTTACCTATGAAGATGTGACACCAAAAACTTCGAATAAGAGAGTTCAAGCTTCTTTTGAAGATCAATTTTGTTGCTTCTCAGTTTCTCGATTTCTTTAATTGGGCATTGTATTAATTGTCGTCCAGAATTGCTTAGAATAATACTTCTAGGAAATATCTGTAAAACAAAACACATGCAAAATTCAAACCACTTGTTAGAGTTAAAAAACACATGCAAAATTCAAATCACTTGTTACGGTTAAAAACATTCTTGAGCACCATGCTCAATAGTCTCAACACATTTTTCAACTAGTCAGGCATACATGATTAGATAGTCATTTGAACATACAATA